AGGTTCTCTGCTCCTGTTCCTGAGGAGCCAGTAGATCCCAGTGGTCCTTATGCAGAGCTGGTGGGTTGCCTCATGTACATGATGACTTGCACTCGTCCAGATCTTGCATACCCTCTCAGCATCCTGGCTCGCTTTGTGGCCACTGGCAGACACCGACCACAGCACTGGTCGGCCGCTAAGAGGGTTTTGCGTTATTTTGCAAGTACATTGGGCATGGAGCTAGTGCTTCGAGGACGCAGGCTAGTGGTCCTTACTGGGCACACATACGCTTCTTGGGCAGAAGATGCAGAGACTCTCAGGTCGTCCCAGGGCTACTACTTTAGCCTTGGCTCGGGTTCGATCTCGTGGAGGTCCAACCGCTCGTCGTCTGTTGCTTAGTCTAGCTGTGAGGCTGAGATCTACGCCAGTGCCATGGCGGCACAGGAGCTCCGCTGGCTGACCTTCTTGCTCACCAACTTAGGTGAGCAACCTAGCTGTGCCTCGGTCTTGTACGCTGACAACAGGGCCATGATTCTCGTGTGTCAGGAGCCTCGACTTGAGGGCAGAGCAAAGCCCATCCAGCTACGGTACTTCCTCCTGCGCCAGCTACAGCAGGGTCGCCAAGCCTGCCTAGTACACTTGGCCTCCGGTGCCAACACAGCTGATATCTTTACGAAGGCCCTTGCGCCTAAAGATCATCAGCGGCAGTGTTTGCAGCTTGGTTTAGTTCCTATTGCTACTCACTTGGTAGGACCTTTATTGTGTACTCCTCTTTATGTATACCTTTTTGACTGGCCTTGTGTTTTCGCTTCCAGTGGCTGGACTAGTAGTGCCTTTCTGAAGTGCGTGTTCCTTGCTCTACAGTGCCCCTTATCTAGCCTAGGGGATGTGTCAACTTATACATATATTCATATGTAGAAGTTATAGGCTAGCTAGAGTTGTGCTCTTAGAGAGTACATCACAACCCCATACATCTGATGTACTCTCATCTTTCTAATTATTCAGGTATCTTAATAGTCTACACCAGCTCGGTCAACCCCTCGGCGTGTAAGGCGGCGCCGTCAATAGCAAGGGCAGCGGCTTCAACGGCGGCAGCGTCGACAGCGGCGGCAGCGTGTGATGGCAAGGCCAGCGGCATCAGCTGCGGCGGCGGCGGCTTTCACGACAGCTGCCGGCGGCCCCGGAGCTCGCAACACCCGGCGACGTGACCGGGCTCCGCGACGGTGGGACGGCGAGTTAGCCATCGGCTGCGGCAAGGAAGAGGGGACGTAGGGAAAGGGGGGGGAACGGGGCTTCAGCAGCACGCCCGTGGCTGGCATGCGGGCGTCAGGACTGGCAGCAGCTAAAACGTCGTGCGGCCTGCCGCCGCCCGTCGACGCCGCCACTGCAGCATAACGACGTCGCCACAATGCGGCATCAATGCCGTGGCAAGACGTTGATGCTAGGACGGCAGCACGACGCCATCGCCGCGGTGTGGCGTCGACGCCACGCGTCGGGGCTGCGACGGCAGCACCACGACGCCGCGACGGCAGCTCGGCATGGATGCAACGGCGGCACTAAAGTACGCGGCGGAAGCGTGATAAGCAGGCCCAGGAAGAGGAACCTGCTCTGAAACCATGTTAAGATACTAGAATAGGTATGACGCCATGAAAGGCGAGAGGGTTTAGGCTAGGAGACCAAAAGATGCGAGAAGAAAGAGAGTGAGACTACAAAGAGAGAGGGATACAAGGAGGGGATTGTACCCTCTGTTAAAGCTAGAATACTAGGCAAGGAGGGAAGCCATGGCTATGGCGAGAGGGTTTTAGGCTAGGAGAGAAAGTTACGAGAAGAAAAGAGATCGGGAATAGAAGAGAGAGGGATACAACGAGGGGGTTGTACCCTCTACAGTAGGTTTCAGTAACACCTACCAAGCCTACCATTATATATAGCAAATATATACAGTGGCGGAATAAATTGTCCACATGTTCAGCCTTTTTTGGCATTTTGATGAGTGCAGCGGCGTAAACCTTAAGCCTTAATGTATGGTGTGCATACACGTTGAGAAGATCAGTTAGAGCACTCACTCGAGTTGCCAAACACCAAAGTAGTACCACACATGGTCCTTAAACACCTAAGTATAGCATAGGATAACATCCAGACAATTTGTACCGAAGACCGGTAGCATACTAGATTCTAGGAAAACTAGTACCTAGACCAGCGTCCCTTTGCCCGAATCACTGCCTTGATCCTCCTCGGCAGGCTGTCGATCAGGTTTGCACACACCTCCGCCGGTATCTTGTCCCATTCCTCCTGCACCCTCTCCCACAGCTCCAGCATTCCACTTGGCGGCTTTTCGTACTTCCCCAGCTGCCTTTTCAAGTGTGCCCACAGGTGCTCAATCGGGTTAAGGTCCGGGGAGCATGGCGGCCATTCCAGCACCGCGTACTTTTGCTCCCCAAGCCAGTCTTGGACCAGACGAGACCTGTGCTTGGGATCATTGTCGTGCTGGAAAATGACCTCTGAGGGGGAAAGCTTGAAAAAATCGATGGTATGTTTGAGCTCATCTTGCAAGATGCTGCGATACAGCAGCCCATCCATCCTGCCATCTATCTTGCATATGAACCCCGCCCCCTCATACGTCATGCAATCCCACACCATCACAGAACCGCCCCCATGCTTAACTATCTGTTGGACTTGATGGCTCCGAAGGCTGGTGCCCTCGCGAATCCAGGCGTACGCACGTCCGTCGGAGCAGTAGCGGTTTATCTTTGTCTCGTCAGACCAAATCACCCGCTTCCAGTCCTCCAGCGTCCAGTCGGCATGCGACCGCGCGAAGTCGAGACGATCTCGGATGTTTTTCGGTGAGAGCCTGGGTTTCTTGGGCTGATGCACGGCGATCAGCCCCGCGGATCGTAATGAGTTCCTGACCGTCTTCGAGTCTACGGTGAGATCGTGCTTCTCCAACAACATATTTGCCGCGTCTACAGAGCTTTTTGCCTCGCCGCTTGTAATCGCGCGTATTATTCCGCGCTGGAGACGGGTAGTGATTAAGCGGGGGCGGCCGGCCGAAGGCATCGTAGGTCGCACCTCCTCGAGACTAGTCTCGGCAGCCACTTTCAAACCGTAATCGTGCACGGTGCTTTTGTCTATGCCAAGAACTTTGCCTATTTTCCTAGTCGAATGCCCCGCACGCAACATGCTTATGATTCGCGCGCGCTTTCGCTCATTTAACAGCTTCATGGCGATGCGGTCGTAGGCTCGCTTCCGGACTAACTCCTAAGCCAGCAACTGTTGCGCGTGACGATGTACACACCGAGTGACGGGGGAAAATAGATCTACTCTTCCGCTCGGTAGGAAATGTCCGCATCGATAGTCGAGGAGTAAATTTCAACCCCACTTTCCGGTTGTGTCACAATCGCGCCAAGCAAGAAACGGTTGAAGCAGAACTCGAAAACCTTGTAACGGAATGGCAAAAAACGGGTGGTACTATTTTCGAAACATGTGTGGCATAGCGATACGTTTCAAAGTTTTAAACATCCGGGCGATTTATTCCGCCACTGTAATTTAACACACCCCCTAGGCTTGGTAGCCGAAAGCACACCACACACCCCCTAAGCTTAGCACCCCCATACTCAGCAGCAGCGACAGCTACTCCAGCTTGGTCAACCCCTCGGCGGGGGAGGCGGCGACGTCGACAGCGAGGGCAGCGGCTACAACGGCGGCGTCGTGGCCCCAATGCAAGCGGCGATAGCTGCGGTGGCGGCGGCTTCGATGACAGCGGCCGGCGGCGGCGGAGCTCGCAGCACTCGGCGGCATGGTTGGGCTCCGCGACGGTGGGACGGCCGGCGGGAGTCAGCCGTCGGCTGCGGCGAGGAAGAGGGGACTCAGGGAAAGGGGGGGGGGCGTGGTCCAGCATCACGCCTGTGGCTGGCGTGCGGGCGGCAGGTCTGGCGGACGTTGCGCGGCCGGCTGCCACCCGACGACGACGCCACTGCACCATTACGACGCCGCCATATCACGGTGTCGATGCCGTGTCGGCGAGTCGGAGCTGCGACGGCAGCACCACGAAGCCGCCATGGCAGCTCGGAAAGGCCGCCACAACGGCACAGAAATGGCGACAGAAAAAAAAAAAAAAAAAAAAAAAAAAAAAACACACACACACACATACACATACATACACACACACACACACACACACACACACACACACACACACACACACACACACACACACACACACACACACACACACACTCACACACACACATGAGTACGCGGCGGAAGCCTGGGGAGCAGGCCCTGGAAGGGCAACCTGCTCTGATACCATGTTAAAGCTAAAATACTAGGCAAGGAGAGAAACCGTGGCTATGGCAAGAGGGTTTTATGCTAGGAGAGAAAGTTACGAGAAGAGAAGAGACCGAGAATAAAAGAAAGAGGGATACAGGGAGGGGGTTGTACCCTTTATTGTAGGTTTCAGTAACACCTACAAAGCCTACCATTATATATATCAAATATATAATTTAATACCTTCTACAGTAGGTTTTAGTAACATCTACCAAGCCTACAATTATATAGAACATATATAATTTAACAGAGACAATATGTTGGCTGGCTGTGCTCGAGTCCAGCGCTGTGCCAGCAATCAGTCACCGAGGTCGCTTCCCAGCCTACCGAAAGTCATAGCAATGTCTTGCTTTTAGGAGAATCTGCCAATGACTGGTCTGAGGGTTTGGTGGTATGCTGGCCGTGTTCTTAAGCCTGGCGCTATGCCAGGAACTGTCACTGATGCGAGTGGTCTTCCAGCTAGCTCAAAGAACTGGCGGAAATCACATATATTTTTTATCATATATTTATCGAGATGGAGTTGATGGTATGTGTGAGTTATGGATGAGGCGGACATCTAGTTAGCCCATATTTTGTCAAATTCTTGTCATAAATGTTGAAGTGTAATAAAGAAGCAAAGGTGTACGAGGATACCAGTTCTGGAGTTCAATCATAGATAGACCTTGGGAGTGCCAAGGAGAGAGCTAGCAGAATCTTGAACAGCACAGCCAGTCCTTTCGTGCACCTCTTGCGCCGCCAGCTTTAGTAGTCTCACCTCGTATATTGAGTTGTACTCTTCGGGTGCCTGGACTCGACTTCCCCCCCCCCCCCCCGCATAGTCCGCATAGCTCGGCTCTGTTAGTTACTTCCGGGGTTTCGGAATGGCATTGCGAACGTGTCTGGTTCAGAGAGTATTGAGGTTGATTTTAGATCGCTGAAGCCTACCTCTACTCTGTGATTATTGTCGTGCTAGTCGCTGCTGACCATTGTACGAGCATCTGCTCGCCACTCCACCTAACGACCTCGAACTGTCCGAGTCTAAGTGTATGCAGTGTTTTTTTTTCCCTCTACTTTGATTTTCCCTCAAGAGCTTTCGCTCGACTGTGGTTACATTGTGGTAACCGTCGGCTCTTGTAGGAAAATATTGACGGGCCCATTCAAAATTAGGGTTACATTTAGTATCCGCAGCTCTCAATGGACTTTTTAACGAGGATAAAGTCACCCTGACTCAGCACGCGTTACCTAGCTCGCAAACGATCCCTAGTACGCGTTAGAGTAGGTCGCGTTTCTCGCCATGGCAGCGGAGCAGGGACTGCCGAGTCCCGGCATTCGGTTGGCGGATCCCGCCGCGCTTCTAACGCATATCGAGGTCCCCAACCAGGTGAGAAGATCCTCATTTGGCCGTGAACGCCTCAATGCATGTCGCAAGGAATGCAGAACCTGCCGCTGCCACGCTTCTAACGCATATCGAGGTCCCCAACCAGGTGAGAAGATTCTCATTTGGGCTTGAACGTCCCTTGCGGCCGAGTCCTTGAACGTCGCACGGACTGCAGAACCAGACCCTTCCGCATTTCTATCGCGTATCGCTGTTTGGCTGGTACGGAAGTTAAGAAAGCCACCCTTTGTCAATATCGCATTGTGTCAATGTCCGTGCCGCCTCATCAATGACTTTTTAGTCGACACAAAACTCATCCGAATCTAATCAACGTCCATGCCATTTATTGCGTTTTCTTCCGCATACTCCGGCCGCTTCTAAGCTATGTACGTCAGTTTTGTCTTTCCTCATTTTCCGCCGTTCACCTTTCTCCCCTTCTTTTGGTTCGACTCAAAGCATTCCGCCCTTTTTTCTTTCTCCCCTCCACCAATACTCCCCATACTGTTGTTGCAGGTCAAGGATGTCATAATGGACGGTCCAGATCGCAACAGCGACGCCTACTACACGTATTTGGACGCCGTGGATCGGCTGAACGGTGCAGTGCGGTTCATAGAGGAGGAGTTGCGGAACGGGCGGTACCTGATCGCCAAGGCCATGGAGAACGTCAAGGCGGACTTTCACGGGCTGCTGGCAGACAGCAGGTGAGGGTTCCGGCTGGAGTAGGTAGGTTAAGTGTTCTAAAGTGCCGCTTATCCCTGCTGGCAAGAGGAGGAGCTGCGGACCGGACGGAACCTGATCGCCCTGGCCATGGAGAATGTTGAGCCTGATTTCCATGGGCTTCTCGGTGGCGGAGAGCAGGTGAGTAATGGCGCATGAGGGGTGAGGGGTGGCGGAGAGCAGGTGAGTAATGGCGCATGAGGGGTGAGGGGTGGCGGCGAGCAGGTGAGTAATGGCGCATGAGGGGTGAGGGGTGGCGGAGAGCAGGTGAGTAATGGCGCATGAGGGGTGAGGGGTGGCGGAGAGCAGGTGAGTAATGGCGCATGAGGGGTGAGGGGTGGCGGAGAGCAGGTGAGTAATGGCGCATGAGGGGTGAGGGGTGGCGGAGAGCAGGTGAGTAATGGCGCATGAGGGGTGAGGGGTGGCGGAGAGCAGGTGAGTAATGGCGCATGAGGGTGAGGGGTGGCGGAGAGCAGGTGAGTAATGGCGCATGAGGGGTGAGGGGTGGCGGAGAGCAGGTGAGTAATGGCGCATGAGGGGTGAGGGGTGGCGGATAGCAGGTGAGTAATGGCGCATGAGGGGTGAGGGGTGGCGGCGAGCAGGTGAGTAATGGCGCATGAGGGGTGAGGGGTGGCGGAGAGCAGGTGAGTAATGGCGCATGAGGGGTGAGGGGTGGCGGCGAGCAGGTGAGTAATGGCGCATGAGGGGTGAGGGGTGGCGGATAGCAGGTGAGTAATGGCGCATGAGGGGTGAGGGGTGGCGGAGAGCAGGTGAGTAATGGCGCATGAGGGGTGAGGGGTGGCGGAGAGCAGGTGAGTAATGGCGCATGAGGGGTGAGGGGTGGCGGAGAGCAGGTGAGTAATGGCGCATGAGGGGTGAGGGGTGGCGGAGAGCAGGTGAGTAATGGCGCATGAGGGGTGAGGGGTGGCGGAGAGCAGGTGAGTAATGGCGCATGAGGGGTGAGGGGTGGCGGGAGAGCAGGTGAGTAATGGCGCATGAGGGGTGAGGGGTGGCGGAGAGCAGGTGAGTAATGGCGCATGAGGGGTGAGGGGTGGCGGCGAGCAGGTGAGTAATGGCGCATGAGGGTGAGGGGTGGGTGGGGTTGGATGGTTGAATGTGGCAGGAGCTTCATTTGGCAGCAATGCTGGCAAATAGGAGGGAGAGGCTTCCAGTTTGCTTTGAACTGCATCCCTCTGCTACCCCTGCCACTCCCCTGCCACTCCCCTGCCACTCTTCTGCCACTCCATGCCTCCCGTTTGGCTATACCCCGCAAATCTCTTTCGGCACCTGGACGAGCTACGGGAGGAGATGTCTCTATCCTTTTGCGTCAGCAATACCCTTTGGTTTTGAGATGCTTTCTCTCTTCACACCCCTTCTGCCTGACTGGTCCCAGGCCTTGACGACCTGCGGAGGGCGATTCTCTCCAAGGAGATGTCCCTATCCCGTTGCGTCACCAATACCCTTTGGCTTCTCCCTTCACACCCCTTTTGCCACTCTCTTCCCGGGCCTGGACGAGCTGCGAGATGCGATGCTGGCTGGGGATGTTTCCACTCCTTTTATTTTCCATGACCAATGCCTCTTGGCATCGAGACTCTCTCTTCACCCCCCTTATGCCAGTCTGGTCCCGGGCCTGGACGAGCTACAGGAGGCGATGCTTTTAGAGGTGATGACTCAATGATTCGCCGCTCCCTGGTGCGCCACCACCACCATTTCGCTGCCAAACCCCCTGCCAATCCCTTTACACCCCCTATGCCCCACCCACCAGTCTCTTTCCGGACCTGGACGAGCTTCGGGAGGCGATGCTGTCAGAGGAGTCACCGGACCAGATAACGCCCCCAGAGATGATTGCCGAGGCTGCGCTGCCGAAGCTGCATGCCATGGCTCGTCGGCTGGTGGAGAACGGATGTGCTTCGGACTGCACGCGCGCTTACAAGTAGGTAGTTGGGTGTGTAGGGCGGAAGGGCTGCTGGAAGTCTATTATGAGTGGATGACAATGGCAGCCATCCACAGCATACCACACCACACCCCCCTTCCCCAGTTCTTCCCCATCCCCGTTTCCTTTCAAATAGGGAGAGACGGGAGGCAGCCTTGAGGAGGAGCTTTCAGGGACTGGGCTGGAGCGAGTGCTGCAGGCAATGGCCAAGGCACAGATCCACTTTTGAGTTGACTCAAAAACTTCTGAGTCTGCTTCTGAGTCTGCTTTTGAGTCTCGTTTTGTTTTGAGTAGTCTCAAAAGCAGCTGGGCTGGGAGTGCTGCGGGCAATGACCAAGGCGCAGATCCACTTTTGAGTCGACTCAAAAAGCTTTTTGAGTTTGCTTTTGGGTCTGCTTTTGAGAAGGCGCAGATCCACAGCACCCCGTGGCTCCCTTAGTCCTTGGACAGCTTTCCCCTTCGTTTCTAAACAGGGAGAAGCGGGAGGCAGCGTTGAGGCGGAATTTTCAACGGCTAGGGGTGGGGGTTCAGACAATGACCAAAGCAGAGATCCACGGCACCCCATGCTATGCTCCCCTCCCCCCCTCCTCGCACTGCCCCCCTTCCGCCTCCTCACGCTGCCCCCTTCCCCCTCCTCACACTGCCCCCTTCCCCCTCCTCACACTGCCCCTCCCCCCCTCCTCACGCTGCCCCCTCCCCCCCTCCTCGCACTGCCCCCCTTCCCCCTCCTCACGCTGCCCCCTTCCCCCTCCTCACACTGCCCCCTTCCCCCTCCTCACACTGCCCCCTCCCCCCCTCCTCACACTGCCCCCTTCCCCCTCCTCACACTGCCCCCTCCCCCCTCCTCACGCTGCCCCCTCCCCCTCCTCGCACTTCCCCCTTACCCCTCGCCCTTATACAGAAAGAAGCGGGAGGCAGCGTTGAGGCGGAATTTCCAACGGCTGGGCGTCCAGACAATGACCAAGGCGGAGATCCACAGCACGCCATGGCCCCCTTTGTCCTCCTCACCTCCTCACACTGCCCCCTTGCCCTTCCCTCAAACAGGGAGAAACGGGAGGCAGAACTGAGAAGGAACTTCCAACGGCTGGGGGTGCAGACGATGACCAAGGCAGAGATCCACAGCACGCCATGGCCCCCTTAGTCGTCCTCCCCCGCCCCTTTTCCCCTCTCCCTTGTACAGGGAGAAGCGGGAGGCAGCGCTTAGAAGGAATTTCCAACGGCTGGGGGTGCAGACGATGACCAGGCAGAGATCCACAGCATGCCATGGCCCCCTTTGTTGTCCTGCCCCACCCCTTTTCCCCTCGCCCTTGTACAGGGAGAAACGGGAGGCAGCGCTTAGAAGGAATTTCCAGCGGGCTGGGGGTGCAGACGATGACCAAGGCGGAGATCCACAGCACCCCATGGCCGCAGCTGGAGGAGCGGATGAGGCGGTGGAGCGAACACATGCACATTGGGGTACGGTGAATGTAGACACATGCACATTGGGGTACGGTGAATGTAGACACATGCACATTGGGGTACGGTGAATGTAGACACATGCACATTGGGGTACGGTGAATGTAGACACATGCACATTGGGGTACGGTGAATGTGGACACATGCACATTGTGGTATGGTGAATGTGGACACATGCACATTGGGGTACGGTGAATGTGGACACATGCACATAGGGGTGAGCGGAGGGGACGCTTGCACATAAGGGTGAGTGGCGACGAGGGAAGAGGAGGGAGAGAGACGAGGAGCGAGGAGAGGATGTGGCGGAGGAGCGAACGCATGCACATAGGAGTGAGTGAGGAGGGGTGGTAGAGGAGAGGGAGGGGAGGAGAAAGCACATGCAGTTTGGGGAATGGGGGATGTGAGTGCGGACACATGCACTTGGGGTATGTAAGATGCGCACGCACATCTGGCTGAACATGCCTCTCTTCCGCCCCTACCCCTCATCCCATGCTTTTCCCACCATCCACCCTCCCCCCCTCCCCACCAAACGGCCCTCCCCCTCCCTTCCCTCCCCCCCTCACACACATACCAGATGATATTGGTAATAGGCGAACGGGAGGCGTGCGACGAGGTGTTTGACAGGCTGGAGCCGTGCGGCGAGCAGTGCTTGTGGACCTCTCGCGCTCGTCCATGCTGCTGCCACGTGCTCCCTGCTTCTTAATCCCCTCTATTTCAGATGATTCTGGTGGCAGGCGAACGGGATGCATGTGACGAGGTGTTTGACGGGCTGGAGCCGTGCGGCGAGCAGTGCTTTGTGGACATCTCGCGCTCCTTCATGCTGCTGCCACCTGCTCCCTGCTTCCAACTCCTTCTCCCTCATTCCTCTCCCCTCTCCCTCCTTATCCCCTCATTCCACTCCCCTCTCCTTCCTATCCCCGCTCCCTCCCCCTCCCCCCCAGATGATTCTGGTGGCAGGCGAACGGGAGGCATGTGACGAGGTGTTTGACGGTTGGAGCCGTGCGGCGAGCAGTGCTTCGTGGGACCTCTCGCGCTCCTCCATGCTGCTGCTGGGGGTTCGGCGAGGCAGTGAGCGAGATCAAGAAGACGCATCCCGAGCGGCTTCTTCTCCTTCCTCGACATGTACGAGACAACCCTCGACCTCAAGTGCACGTGAGTAAAGGCTCCCTCTCCCTTACATTCTTCTCTCTTCTCTCTCTTCTCTTTCTTCTCCCTCTCTCTCTTCTCCTTCCTCGACATGTACGAGATGACCATCACCTCAAATGCACGGTGACGCTGTGCTGACTCAAGTCAACGCTAGTTTATGGTGCATTGTCTAATGAAGAAGACGCCCGACCTCAAATACGAGCGGCTCTTCTCCTTCCTCGACATGTATGCGACGACGCTCGACCTCAATGCACGGTGCGTCTTCGAGTGCTGTGGCGCCCTAGAAAGGAAATTCTCCCTCTCCTCTCCTCTATTCTCTCTTCTCCTTCCTTGACATGTATGAGACCACGCTCGTCCCTCGATGCTTCAAGTACTTTGAACCCCTAGATTGGAACAAGACCACACTGGACTCAAGTGCACCGCAAGACATCCCTCCTTTCCCCTCTAGTGTCTCTTGCACGGTAAATTAGGTCTCTCACTCTCCTCTTGTATCTTCTCACATTCCTCCGCACTCTCCTCCATCACCTATCTCCCCCCCCCCTCCCTTCCCCACTTTCCTCTTGTCTCTACTCTGCAGCACACTCCCACGCACTCCTCCGCACTCTCCTCCATCCGCCTCTCTCGCTCCTTCCCCTTCCCCGCTTCCCTCCTCTCTACTCTACACACGCCCACACTTTTCGCCACACTCTCCTCCATTCACCAATCTCGCTCCTTTCCTTTCCCTCCCCCCTCCTCTCCTCCCCTACCGCACATGCGTGCAGGTGGATGAACTTTTTAAAGGCCCTGAGGGGGAGACGATTGCTTTTGAGTCAACTCAAAATCAGTCCCCTCCTCTTTCCGCCTGCCTGGTTGTTGTTTTACATGCACACGATACATGCAGGTGGATGAACTCTTTAAAGGCCCTGAGGGGAGATGATGCGGCGTGGAGTACCAGCACCTGCTAGAGCCCCTCGGCACCCATCTCCCCTCATCCCCCCCTCTTTGCCCTTGTACTCCCGTATACATTACCCCCGTGCAGGTGGACAGCTGATCAAAAGCCTGAGGGGCGATGATGCAGCGCGATTACCAGCGCCTGCTGAAGACCCTCGGGCTGCGGGCAAGCAAGCAGAGCAGCGTTTGACAACCATGAGTGACGACGACCTGCGGGCACGCAATGAGAGCAGAGCAGCGTTTGACAAGTCTGGGTAGGGACGACCCTTGGGCAAGCAATTAGAGCTGAGCAGCGTTTGACAAGTCTGGGTAGGCAGTGAAGCTCATCCCTCCCCTCCTTCCCCCCTCTCTGCCCTCGCATATATTCCCCATGCACATTACTCACCACAGGTGGGCGAACTGTTTAAAGGCCCTGAGGAGAGATGATGCAGTGATTACCAGCACCTGCGAAATACCCTGCGGCAAGCAGCCAGAGCCACCTTTGAAAGGCTTGACGATACGGTAAAGGCACCCTCTCGCCCGTCCTTCCTCCCTCCCTGCCCTTCTATTCCCCACTCACATTTACACGCAGGTGACGAGCTGTTCAAGGGGCCCGAGGGGAGATGATGCGGCGCGAGTACCAGCACCTATTGAAGACGCTGGGCAAGCAGCGAGAGCGACGTTTGAGAAGTTTGAGAGGCGGTGAAGGCTCAACCCACCCCGGAGGACAACGGCCCGGGAGGGGCGTACCCTGCTCTCGCCAGCCCCACCCCAGTGAACGCGGGGGAGGCAGCGGGTTTGCACGGAATGAGTCGCTGCGCGGCGGGAGGATCCTGGGCCGGCTGAAGAAGTGAGTGGAGGGGGGAGGGGGGGGGGGGGGGAAGAGGTTGGTGGTGGGAGCTGGGGGTGTGGCTAGGGTTAGGGCGCAGGTTGTTAGAGGGGCGTGCCCTGCTCTCGCCAGCCCCACCCCCAGTGAACTGGTGAGGGTAAGGGTTTGCACGGAATGAGTCGCTGAGCGCCGGGGAGGTCCTGGGCAGGTTGAAGAAATGTGAGTGCTTGGTGGAGGAGGGGAAGGGGAAGGGTTTTGGTGGTGGGAGCTGGGGGGTTGTGCTAGAGTTAGGCCAAAGAGTCAGTCGCCCCCTTTCACCCGCGCCCTCCCCTCTTCTTACATCGCTTCTCTCCCACCTGTGACAGAATGATGAACAAGGGGGATGACTCGGTGAGCGAGGTAGCATCAATGTCATCCTCGTTGACAGCAGAGGCTCCACAGGAGACATCCATTTCACCCCAACCCCCTTCACCCTCCCCCTTTCACCCCGCCCCTTTTCACCCTGCGCCCTCCCCCTCGTCTTACATCGCTTCTCTCCCACCCGTGGCATAATGATGAACAAGGGAGAGGGCTCAGTGAGTGAGGTGCTCAATGATGTCAACGTCGACAGCAGCGGCTCAACTCACTCCACAGGAGACATCCATCCATGGCACCCACATTCCCTCCCAACCCCGCGTTGCCTCCTGGCTCTCTCCCTTTTATTCCCAGAATGATGAACAAGGGGGATGACTCTGTGAGCGAGGTGGGCTCGATGACGTCCACGTCAACAGCGGCAGCTCACTCCACAGGAGACATCCACCCCATCACCAGCTACGTGGTCAACTACCTGCTGCTGCTCTGTAACAGGTAAGAGATAGGAGTCGAATGGTGTGAGTGCTCTGGGGTAGTGCCTCCTCTCCTACCAGCATCCACCCGATCACCAGCTATGTGGTCAGCCACCTGCTGCTGCTCTGCAACAGGTGGAGAGTGTTGCGGGTCAGGGGACTGGGATGTGGGGACGTGGGGACGTGGGGACGTGGGGACGTGGGATGTGGGGACGTGGGGTTGTGGGGATGGTAATACACGTTCTGTGGCAACTCAACAGCACTTCGTGCACCTTTCCCTGCCCCCAGCCCCGCCACTCCTCTCGAAACCAGCGAGTGTCCCTACTCTTAGATCCTGGAGTGTGTGTCGACGCCAGAACTCAGCTACACCCTCCATCCCCTCCCTCTCCCCCCCTTCCCCCACGAACCTCCCAACCTCCCTTTTCTTCTCAGTGAACCCGCCGCCCTACTTCCATATCCTGGAGTGTGTATTTGAAGATATGAGCAGTCTCCCCTAAAACTGTTCTTAAAATTCCCACATCCACTCGTTTCCTATCCCACTCGTAGTGGGTTGGAACGGTTAGATCCCTCAAGAACCAACTTCCCTCGTTTTTCACTCGTAGTGGGATCCCTACTGTCAGATCCTCGAGTGTGGCTTTGTGGACATGAATTCCTTCATGTCCCCCCCTCACCAGCGACTCACCAGCACTCCCTCCCCCTTCCCTCCCTCTTCCCTCCACCTTCCCTCCCCCTCTCCTCTCCTTTTCTCTCGCCCTCCCTCCCTTACCCTTCCTTATTCCCCTGACATCGCAGCGAGCTGCTCTTCTTCCAGATCCTCGAGTGTGTATTCGAGGACATGATCAGCAACGGCAGTGACTCAGCAGCACTCCTTGTCTCTCCCTCAATCGCCTCTCGTGTCCCATGAACCTCCCCTCCCCCCTAACTCCTCAGCGAGCTGCCCTACTTTCAGATCCTCAAGTTTGTATTCGAACACGTGATCAGCAACGCCAGCGACTCACCAGCACTCCCTCCCCCTTCCCTCCCCCTTCCCTCTCCTTACCACTCTCGCACATCCCCCTGACATGGCAGCGAGCTGCCCTACTTCCAGATCCTCGAGTGCGTGTTTGAGGACATGATCAGCAACGCCAGCGACTCAGCAGCCAGTATCGTGACGCCACGTGTGCAAGGCCGGCTGGCCTTTGCTGCGGCACGCATCGTGGACGCCCTCAAGACGAAATCTGGGACAGCGGGCGGCGATGCTAAGGGACGACACCCTGGCTGAGCTCTTTATGATGAACAACCTCGCCTATGTTCTGACCAAGATTGACGCGTGAGTGGTGATGTGTGTGTGAGTGCTGATGTGGGTGAGTGCTGATGTGTGTGAGTGCATGGACATGGATGGATGTGTGCTTGCGCGTGTGAACCTAGGGCAGCAGGCTGTGATGCTAAGGGATGAGACGCCGGCAGAGCTGTGTATGATGAATCGTCTCGCCTATGTTTTGACCAACATCGGCACGTGAGTACTGATGTGGATTACTGTATGTTTATGGATACATGCCCACTCAAGCATGCTCTGCTGCCTTCTCTCTGCTGCCTCCCATTGCTGCCAACTTGTCAGGTCGGATGCCGGGCGGCTGCTTGGTACGGCCTGGATCGGCACATATGGAGCGATGGTGGACACCCACCGAGATAGATTCATCATGCACACCCTCGCCAAGGTGGGCCGCTCTTAACTGTTCGTCTTGACTTGAGTTGACCTGAGCTGACTTGGCTTGGATAGTTGCGTATGGGGCAATGGTGGACACCCACCGAGACAGATTCATCATGCACACCCTTGCCAAGGTGGGCGCTGCTAGCTGCTTATGCTGATCGCCAAGGTGATCTTCAACCCCAGCTTATGTCGCGCCGACCCAACTCCTCTGCCCCCTCTCTGCCCCCACTCTGCCCCCACTCTGCCCCCTTTCTGCCCCCTCTCTGCCCCCACTCTGCCCCCTCTCAGCCCCCGCTCTGCCCCACTCTGCCCCCTCTCTGCCCCCTCTCTGCCCCTCTCTGCCCCCTCTCTGCCGTCCCTGATGTCTAACCCATACCAGTTTAACATGGTCTTCTGAGATGAGCGTCAAGACCCTCTGCTATGTCCGCCCTATATTTCTCCCTGCTCCCTCTGCCCCTTCTCCTGATCTCCCTACCCTCTCCTCCTCTCCCTACCCTCTCCTGCTCTCCTCCCCTCTCCTCCCCTCTTCCTTCATACCAGTTTGACGTGGTCTTTTCATGTGAGCGAGCAGAATCCTCTATCTCTAAACCCCCCATACTTATCCCTGCTCCCTCCGCCCCCTCTCCTGCTCTCCCCCGCTCTCCTGCTCTCCCTCCCTCTCCTCCCCTCTTCCTTTATACCAGTTTGATGTGGTCTTTCATGTGAGCGCCTAGACTCCCCTGTTTCTACCACCCTATACTGATCCCTTCTCCCTCTGCCCCCTCTCCTCCCCACTCCTCCCCACTCCTCCCCTCTCCTCCCCTCTCCTCCCCTCTCCTCCCCTCTCCTCCCCTCTCCTCCCCTCTCCTCCCCACTCCTCCCCTCTCCTCCCCACTCCTCCCATCTCCTCCCCACTCCTCCCATCTCCTCCGCTCTCCTCCCCACTCCTCCCCACTCCTCCCCTCTCCTCCCCACTCCTCCTATCTCCTCCTCTCTCCTCCTCTCTCCTCCCCTCTATTCCCCTCTCCTCCCCTCTCTTCCCCTCTCCTCTCCTCTCCTGCCTTCTTCCTCCATGCCAGTTCGATGTGGTCTTCTCAGGTAGGCGCCTGGACTCCTCTGCGTTTTCCGCCCTTCAATTCTACCTCTCCCCTCTGCCCCTCTCTTTCTCCACCCCTCCCCACCCGCCCTCCTCTTCCCCCATGCCAGTTCGACGTGGTCTTCTCAGATGAGCGCCTGGATTCCTCCTCTCTCGTCAAGCGGTGAGTGTGTTTGAAATTTCCTTTTTGACCTGCTCCAACGCCTGTTATGCCTGTCTTGTTTTGAGGCGCCTCAAAACTGCTCCAACGCCTGTTATGCCTGTCTTGTTTTGAGGCGCCTCAAAACTGCTCCAACGCCTGTTATGCCTGTCTTGTTTTGACGCGCCTCAAAACTGCTCCAACGCCTGTTATGCCTGTCTTGTTTTGACGCGCCTCAAAACTGCTCCAACGCCTGTTATGCCTGTCTTGAGTGTACGAGTTTTGAGACGTCTCAAAACTTGAGCGCGTGGATTCCTCCTCCCTTGTCAAGCTGTGGGTAAATTCGAGATTTCCCTGTTCTAATGTGGACCAAAACCTGTTATTGCCTTTCTTGAGTGTACCTTCCCTGGTCAGATGTATGTTCCCTGGTCCCACCTTCCCTGGTTTCTCACATGATCACTTTCCCTCTTCTTCCTCGTGTCGTAAGGCCAATCCCGGCCGTTCTCTACCTTATGCTCTCACCATTCCCTCTTGGCTGTTTCCTTTTCCTCTTGGCTGTTTCCTTTTCCTCTTGGCTGTTTCCTTTCCCTCTTGGCTGTTTCCTTTTCCTCTTGGCTGTTTCCTTTTCCTCTTGGCTGTTTCCTTTTCCTCTTGGCTGTTTCCTTTTCCTCTTGGCTGTTTCCTTTTCCTCTTGGCTGTTTCCTTTCCCTCTTGGCTGTTTCCTTTCCCTCTTGGCTCTTTCCTTTCCCCTCACTGCCAATCGTTCTCTCTTGTTTCTTTCCATTCTTGCCCCTCCCAGCCGCAAGACATTCAATCAGCATTTGAGTCGACTCAAACGCATAAACCTGGAGCACACGCAGCAGCGCCACATGGCGTGGACCATCCTTCCCCCTCATGCTCTCTCTCTTTATCCTCCTCCCCCTCTCAGCCTCAAGACGTTCACTCCAACATAATCGGGGAGCAGATGCGGCAGCGCCACATGGCGTGGACCACTGGATAACCGTCTTGAGGTGCTGACAGCAACCCACCTTGGCACTCCTCTCTGCATATTTCCTTCCTTCCTACGCACTCTCCCCCTCCCAGCCTCAAGACGTTCAACATCATCCTGGAGCAAATGCGGCAGCGCCACATGGCGTGGACCATCACCAATCGCGAGCTACGGGCGCACGTTAAGGCCAAGACGCTCTCGGGTCTCCTGGACAAGTACCGGGACTTCATAATCAAGCACGGGTGGTGGATTGTGAGGGGTCGGTGGGCATGTGACCACGCTCGATCTACTCTCTCAGGTAGAACGCACAGGCCTCCTTGTACCAGGGCTTCATCCTCCTCCCCCTTTCAGCAACATTCTGCGCACCCACCACTCCCTGGATGTGTGTGTGCTGGCATGTGAGGAGGTGGCTCTATTCCCCTCTCTTTCCCACCCTGGTCTCCCTGCCCCTTCCCCCTCTTACTGTAACATCTCACGCAGTCACCGCTTGCTGGATGTGCGCATGCTGGTATGTGATTATGTGGAGACCAATTACCACCACACCCTGTCCTTCCATCCCTGCTCTTCCTCTCCCTGCTCTCCCCTCACCCTCTCATCCCCCTTTCAGCAACATCCTCCGCAGTCACCGCTCCCTGGATGTGGGCATGCTGGCATGTGAGGAGGTGGCTGTATTCCCCTCTTTCCCTCCCTGGCCTCCCTGCGGATCCCCCCCTCACAGTGACATCTTTGCGCTGTCACCGCTCTCTGGAACTGCACGTGCTGTCCTGGCTCTCCCCTTTACCTCATCCAGCCACTCATTTTTCCTTTTTTCCGGTTCATTATTCCCCTTGTGCCCCCCTTACAGTAACATCCTCCGCAGTCACCGCTCGCTGGATGTGCGAGTGCTGGCATGTGAGGAGGTGGAGACAATGCTGGCAGACTCGTTCAGCAGCATGCCCATGGGGAAGAGCAAGTGACATGCACTAGTGGCATGCACAAGTGGCATGCACTAGTGACATGCACAAGTGGCATGCACAAGTGACATGCACTAGTGGCATGCACAAGTGGCATGCACAAGTAACATGCGCAAGTGACATGCACAAGCGGCATGCGCAGGTGACACACGCAAGTAGCATGCGCAAGGGGCATGCACGGATGGAGAGGTGGAGAGGTTGGTAGATGGATCGATGGTGAGGTGGATGGGTGGATGGATGGATAATGGAGGTAGTGCCGTGCATGGGTGGGGTAGAGGAAGGGGATGGGCACCGGCATTGGTGCTGGCATGTGAGGCAGGGGAGACGATGCCAGCAGACTCACTCAGCAGCATGCCACCGGGGAAACTCGGACGATGATGACGAGGCGGAGATGTGAGATGCCATTAGAACAGGTCGTTGTGGGCATCCATGTATGTCATAGTGGGGATGCAACTACGGGTGAGGGAAGGGCGTGTAAGCATGATCATGGTCGTCAAGTCAGCCCCCACGAGGCGCCTAAAAAGCAGAGCTGCAATCGCACATCCCTTCAGCACTTTACCTAGAGTTCCTGAACTATGTGCATAGAGGTAGTCGGCAACCAAGTCACTTTCTAGAACGCTTGTATGGTTTTTGTGCTCGCCTACAACGGGCCATAGGTGACCAATTCCACATCCACCTACTAAATGTAATTGCCTTTGACAATATCTAATTGTAGTTATGGTGCGGAAGTCTCATATTTCCGCCTGTGGTTGGTGTGCGCAACACTGAACCTGCAGATATCCTTAATCGAACTAGTGCTTATACTGAACCGCATTCCCCAGGTCAACCATATCGTCCATGTCAGCTTCATCTGACGAAGCCACGTTTGCATACTCGTCGTCATCCAGCTTCACAGGATTGGACAATCCGCCTTCCTTGTGCCATTCGCACCTTTCACGTGGTCTTACTTTCCCTCCGCGCGGCGGTGGGCCTTCTGCCAGCGTCAGCTCATTTCGAGCTGCTAGATCTCGCGTCGCTTGAGAGTCTCAAATTTCCAATCACACATTTTCATTGTGCAGTGCCAATTCGCTGACGAAACAAATTCAGCGGAGGGGACTCCACTGGTTCTTCCAGGACGGCGGATTAGCGGCGCTCATTGCATTGCTGGTTGGAAACTAGACACATGCTTGCGCGCCACACCGCACCTTAGCGCACCGCAGCGCACCTGCCTTCGCCCCAAGAAATGTCAGCCGCCGTTCCTCCCTCCCTCCTCTTTCTTCATCTGGTCATCCTGCCTCTCAGGTTGATTCGTGACCATCGATTGATGATCCTGAGCGCAATGCACGACTCCGATCTTCTGGCCCTACATTCTCTGGTTCTCCTGTCATCTTCCATTCTCACCACCAACGCCACAAATTCGCCCTCAGTGCCAACCACAATTTCAGGTGCGACTGTACAATCCCAACCAGGCCTTACCCTTCCTCTCCACTCCACCAACCTGGTTTTTCTTAAACTTCTTCCGAACCGAGCATTCACCGTGCTGTACCATTTGTTGTCTAGTATACATCGCAGTAAATCTTACCAGAACGCGTTCAACCTTTCTCAATGGTCGACCCTGAAGCGTGTTCATAAGAAATGTTACACACCCTAAGCCCTCTTGGTCGCTTTCAAGCGAGCCACTCCCCATCATTACGCAGCCTTCAACCGTCTGGTCGACTAACTTCATCATTATCGACACACCTAGCTGACGACGAAGCCTGAGACTTGGAATATATCACGTGGAGTACTAGCTGAGAGGGTGTTCATATCACGTGGAATACTAGCTGAGAGGTACTTATCACGTGTCGTGCTCACATCAGGCGGCCGCGTTTTAGTTCAGGAGCTATCAGCCGCCGACGGGAACGTCCTTTGCGAAGCGGAAACGGGCCTTCGCCGAGAAGCGTGAAGCGGTGTCGTCGATTTCTGGTCTGCTCGAGCCACGTTTGCGGTGAATCTTCCCAGGATCCTGGAACGCGATCCGCGAAACGGGGTTACAAGCTACACGTCATGCGATAAATTGCAACCATTGGCGAAAGTTTGGCGACTGCGTCACGTCGTTCCGGCTGCGACTGCACTTGACGTCGAGTCGAGATGCCTTCGATCAGACCGACGCTCAGAAGGTTTCGAGCCGCTCGAAGAGCATAGAAGGGCTTCCAGAACCGCACCCCAGCAAGTGATTTTTGAGTCGACTCAAACACACCCCAGCCTCCAGAGCTTCGAGAGCTTCGAGAGCTTCCAGCGCATTGCCTTTCGCCCCCCCGTACTTGTCTCGACCACAACCGCATACTTCCAAAACTCCTCATTTCACGGATCGCTGGAAGACTGACGGACGGACGTGCTTGGCTTCGTCCGACAGAAGCTGCATCTGAGTCGTTCATTCATTCAAGTTTCTCGTGCAATCCACGTCTGTCGTTTGCGTAAACGCGTGTACAGCCCAAAAATTCAGCGCGTTTCGGTCACCAAGTTACCAAGTTACAAAGCTAGCATCACCGTATCAGAGCCAGCTCGTCTTAGAGCTGCTGGACGGAAACCTCCCAATTCAGTTCCTAATTCTTTTGAGCACCACTCAAAAGTCTCGTCAACACCGTTTGCCGACTCGGACTACATCTTTCCGATAGCAATGGCTGCTCGGATCAACGCTTCCCCACTGGCAGTCGCACAAATGCGCGGAACACTCTCCGCGCCCCTCCGCGCCCGCCGTGTCGCGTCTACCGCGGTTCAAGGTTCCGCGCGCATTTCCGCGTTCGGAAAATCCCGCCAGATGCCCTACCTTGACGGCTGTTCGCTCCCCGCTACCTTCGCCAGCTGGCTAGCCGTCAAAGCCTCGCCGCCCGCCGTAGGCTTCGTCGTCGTCGCGAATCTGGATCGTGAATTCGCCGTTAATTCCGGCGCGGATGCCACCCGGAACCCTGGAAATAGCTGGCGGAAGGACGGCGGCCACCGCGCAACCACAATCCGCGCGCAAGCCGCCATACTTGCGCCGCCACCGCCGGTTGTGGAAGAGGCGGAAGCAGTGACGGACACGGGGGGAGGGGGAACAGACGGCGGATCGTTCAGGGGCGGGAATGGGGAGGGCGGCGGAAACAATGGGGATGGGCGGTGGTCGGGGGGAAGCGGAGGCGGCGCGGGAGCTGGCGGGGACGAAGGGGGAAGGGCGGACTTCGGCGCGCTCTTGGGATGGCCGCGCGTGGAGGCGGTTCTTCTGCGAAAAGGGGTTACCCTTCCGGAAGATATGCTGTTACACGCGCGCGAACACGGCATATCGGAAGTGATGCTACAGCGGTTCATGGATCTGCAGAACTCGGCCCTTGGCCCCGCTATAAGCAACTGCGCGGCGCTCCGCAACCGGCTGCTCATGGACCCGTCGTTCCTGTTCAAAGTCTTCACGGAGGTGAGCTGACGGAGGTGAGCTGACGGAGGTGAGCTGACGGAGGTGAGCTGACGGAACTGACGGAAACAGTCTGACGGATTTGAACTGACTGCTGTTCAAGATCTTCACAAGCTGACGGAAGTGAACGGACGGATGTGAACTGACCGATGCTATCCCGGGGGTCCCCGCTTATCCTATCTTGTCGCTCGGTCAGATCGCCATCCCATCGACTGCGCCAAAAAATTCTCCCCTCCCCCCTCCCCCCCTTCCCTCTCCCTCCGCTTGTCTCTCGCTCAGATCGCCATCCCGTCGACTGCGGAGGCGCCAAAATGTTCTCCCCTCCCCCTTCCCCCCCCCCGCTTCCCTCTACCTCCGCTTGTCGCTCCGGCCAGATCGCCATCGACTGCGGATGCGCCACGTTCGCGGAGGCGCGGAAGCGCTAGTCTGCGACGCCCCAAACATCCCTCCCATTCTCCCCCCCCTCTTCCCCTTCTCCCTCCTCTCCTCGTTCCCCATCGCCGCTCGGTCAGATCGCCATAGACTGCGGATGCGCGACATTTGCGGAGGTGCAGAAGCGCGGCGACGACTTCTGGAAGGAGTTCGATCTGTACCTCTCCGATATGCTCGTGGGGGTCATTCTGGGCGGCGCTGTCGTCGGCTCGCTCGCGCCAGCCGCGAGGTTCGCCACGTCAGCAGGTGGTGGGCGGTTGCCACGAATCTTGCCGCGCGGGGTTTCTGCTGCGCTCTCGGCGCTCCCAAGCAGGTCAGTACTGTTTGTTGTCAGCAGAGGCGGAAAATGTCCTTGGGAGGGGCTTTGTCTGTAAATAATGTTGTCATCAGCACTGAGGGGTTGGAGCCAGGAACAGGTTAAGGGTGTGTGGGTATGGGCATAGGGTTCTCGAACATGTATGCTCAGATAGGTTCACCCATGTATGTGTTGGTTTTTGAACTTACCCTTCCATTGCGCTCCTATTCCCCTCCCTGCTTCCCCACCCCCAAACCCCCCACGTCCCACTCTCCCCTGACGATAGTGTGTTTGAGGCATCCCTTCCTGGCCACAAGTTTTCGGCTGCCCAACGAAGCGTCACCCTGTTTGTCAAGGTGATATATCTGCCCGCGTAATGCAGCCCCTTCCCTTGCATCACCCAAAGCCCTCTCTGTCCCCCCTTGCACCCATCGATTCCCCCTCTGCTGCCCAGTGAGGGGGATCCATGAGCCAGATCCATGCCCAGTAAGTCTTCCTCTCCTCATTCGCTTCTGACCTCTTCCTCCTGCTTTCCTTTCCTCCTCCTCTGAACATCTTGCCAGAGTGCGGAGTATGCATGCAGGATTTGGCTTTGCCTCGGGGCTTGTTTTGAGGTGCCTCTGAGCTGACGTTCTTTCCTCCTGCCTTCCTCTCTGCCGTCCTCTGCCCATCGCGTCAGGGCGTGGAGTATGCAGGGTTTGGCTTTGCCTCGGGGCTTGTGGGGCAGGGGATCGCTAATGGCGTAATGAATCTCAAAAGGTTTGTCCTGATTTCAATTATGGAGAATCACGTTCTCGCTGTGCCGGGGTCAGATGATTTCTGCTGTCTCTGAATTCTGCCAATTCTCCACTATCACTGCTGAAAGGCGTGGTGCAGCCACATGGAGTGTTTTCACGTGTACTGTGAGAGTTCATATAATATGCTCCTTTTCCCAACGCGCTATCCCTTCCTTCAGAAATCATCCTGAAATATCCGCTGTCCTCCTTTTTGTTCCAATCCTGTCCAATCGCAAGCACGATTTCCGACCTTAGTCAATTATCATTCCTTTCTTTCATCCCCCTCCCACACTCGTCACAGCAACATGCGCCAGAGGAACGGGGAGTCTGCTCATACCGAGGACAGCCACGTCAAGCCACCCCCACTCTTCAAGACAGCCCTACTCTGGGGAGCCTTCATGGCAATTTCCTCGAACCCTCGGTACCAGGTCGTCACAGGCTTGGAGAGGTTAGTTGATGGCTCGGCGGTGGCTCGGAGCCTCCCATGGCTGTCAGGCTCGTTCACGGTGGCAGTGCGATTCGCTAATAACATCTATGGAAGCAGCCAATTTGTGGATTGGGCACGGCTGGCAGGCGTGCAGTGATGCACAGTGCACAAGTTTGGCTGCAGGTTTTGGGACGTCCACCGGGTATGCAGAGTAGGAGTTATGGCTGAACAGCGCGTTGATTTAGGTGGACCAGGGTGCAACATTCATGTTTTAGGTAGGGTAGCGTAATACGGAGGAACAAGATATATATGGCCATCTAATGCAGGTCGCACCACATGATAATTTTTATACTTAGTGTGGGTAGTTTTGGTTCTTAGAAAAGCATTTGTTGGCTAAGCATTGCACATTTGGGCATGGTGAAAGTATTTTGTGTTGAAGTAAACTCGACGGAGTTCACTTATGTATTCCTGATATAACATTTAGACTGTCCTAGTAGCGCGTTACCTCATATAGGAGGACGCGTAAACAGTAGGTTCGCCTTTTAGTCACCCGAAGGGTCACGCCACTCTCAGTCACACGAACAGTCACTAGTCATGTCACGCGAATAGTCGCGTTACACTACGAACAGGTGCATTCCGAGAAGGCACTTCCTAGACTATAAATATTCCTGTATTACACATTATTATTATCCTTGTCATTTCGGACATTTCCAATACAAGGTGTAAAGTCTTCCGCTGAATTTTTCTCGTGGTTCCACCTGTCAACTCATACATGTTATGCATGTAGAAGTTATAGGCTAGTATCGGTCTGTGCTCCTAGTGAGTACAACTCAATTGTTATATGTGTCATGTTTTCCCTTCTAGTAATTATTCACGTATTCTAACATGGTATTGACTAGGTTAGGATCCCCCGCCCGCTTCCGGCCGCGCCCTAGTCTCTCGTCCCCCCCCTAGCCGCCCCCCCCCCCCCCCTTGCCGTCGCGTCCGCCCCTAGCTGGCCCCTTGGCCGTCACATCCGCCCCTAATCGCCCCCCTGGCCGTCGCGACCGCCCCTAGCTGGCCCCCTGGCCGTCGCGTCCGGCCCTAGTCGGCCCCCTGGCCGTCGCGTCCGCCCCTGGCTGGCCCCCCTGGCCGTCGCGACCGCCCCTAGCCGGCCCCCTGGCCGTCGCGACCGCCCCTAGCTGGCCCCTTGGCCGTCACGTCCGCCCCTAGTCAGCCCCCTGGCCGTCGCGGCCGCCCTCAGCCGGCCCCCTGGCCGTCGCGTCCGCCCTCAGCTGGCCCCCTGGCCGACGCGTCCGCCCCTTGTCGGCCCCCTAGCCGTCGCGTCCGCCCCTAGCTGGCCCCACTGGCCATCGCGACCGCCCCTAGCCGGCCCCCTGGCCGTCGCGACCGCCCCTAGCTGGCCCCTTGGCCGTCGCGTCCGCCCCTAGTCAGCCCCCTGGCCGTCTCGTCCACCCTCAGCTGGTCCCCTGGCCGTCGCGTCCGCCCCTAGTCGGCCCCCTGGCCGTCGCGCCCGCCCCTAGCTGCCCCCCTGGCCGTCGCGTCCGCCCTCAGCTGACCCCCTGGCCGTCGCGTCCGCCCCTAGTCGGCCCCCTGGCCGTCGCGTCCGCCCCTAGCTGGCCCCCCTGGCCATCGCGACCGCCCCTAGCCGCCCCCCTGGCCATTGCGTCCGCCCCTAGCTGGCCCCTTGGCCGTCGCGTCCGCCCGTAGCCGGCCCCCTGGCCGTCACGTCCACCCCCAGCCGGCCCCATGGCTGTTCGCGCCCGCTCCTAGCCGGCCCCCTAGCTGTTCGCGCCCGCCCCTAGCTGGCCCCACTGGCTGTCACTGAGCCACTGAGTAGCTGTGTCGCTGACCCTGCACGATGGCTGACTTCGTGCTCCGCCTGGACGCTGAGGGCCACGCGGTTGACTTCGCCGCCTGGCTCTCCGATCTCCGCCGTCAGCTTACACGTCAGCGCCAGGATGGGCACTCTTTGGTGGTCCATGCTGATGGCTTGCTCCCCCGCCCCCCTGCCCCTGCTCCCCTCCCTGCTGACCCCACCTCTGCTGAGAGTGAGGCTTTCTCTACTGCTGCTCTTGCCTGTGCGGTCAGGGACTCTCCCTATGCTGTAGCTGAGGTTGCCATCAGTCACGCCCTCCCCGTGTCGAAGCGCTCGCGTTTCGCTACGCTTGCTACGGCCAAAGCTTATTTAGACGCTATTGTTGCTCGCTATTCCACGCCTGCATCCGCTTCTGCCGGCCGCTTGCTCTTTCCGATGCTGTTCCCAGACCTTGCTGCCTTCCCTACTGTTTCAGACTTTGCCACTCACTTGCGTGCTCTAGAGTCTCGCTATCGTACTGCCAGCACTGCTGCCCAGCTCACTGCGCTCCCCCACCCCTCCTGCATGACGCTCTATTTTATCGCCATGCGCCTGCCGGACCGCCTCGCTAGTGCTCGCGACCGCTTCCTTAGCCAGCACCCGGGTGACCTCACCCTGACCGCCTTTGTCGACACCCTCACCGAGATCGAGACTCGCCAGCGCACTATCGCTCAGTCGAGCGGTGCGCCGGCAGTCTCTATCTTTCACGGCTGTGCCCCCTCCCAGTGCACGTTTACTGACGTTTCGGCTGCGGTCGCCACTGCGACCCCTCTTGCCGAGACGGCCGCTGCGGTACACCCGCAGCAGCGCCTGCGCCGCACTGGCCGTGGCCGCCAGGGCGGTCGTGGTGGTGGAGCTGGTGATAGTGGTAGTGGTGGTGGTGACGGTAGTCCGCCTGAGGGGACTACCACCGGTGGGCAGGAGCAGACGCCGTCGCCTCCGCAGCAGGAGCATCCCCAGCAGCAGCCGCCGTCACAGCAGCAACCGCAGCAACCGTGGGCTCGTCTCCCGCCTGGTTGGCCCGGTACCTCCGGAGGTGGTGGCCGTGGTGGCGGCCCGCGCAGCTTGGCGTCTACCGGCAGCTCCCTTGGTGTGACCTGCCAGTACCAGCTTCAGACCGGGCCTCTCCGCGGCACTCTGTGCCGCTGCTCGCACCCGACCGCCCGCTGTTTCCGCCGCCTCGACAATCTTTTTCGTCGTCGCTTTGGCCCGGCCCCGGACCTCCCCGACTGGCACAGCCTGCTCCGCCAAGGCGTGCCGATCTTTGAGTTAGACATGGATCAGATAGGTGCTGCTTTGCATGCCTTGTACTCTGACGCTTCTAGTGTTGCTAGATCTTATTACCCTACGTACTCTAGTTTAGGTGTTGCACCCTTGCGTAGCTTAGCCCCCCCTGCTGCGTCAGGCGTAGGACTGCCTAGTTTGCCTAGCCTAGTTTTTGCACCGGCTTTGTTCCCAGCCTCCGCTACTGCCTCGCTGTCCTTCACTCTCGAGTCCGGTGCTTATGCCTGCTTCTTCGCCGACCGCTCCACGCTCACGCCGCTTGCTGCGCCTGCTGTTGTCTCTCTCACTGACCCCTCCCCGGGTCCTGTCGTCACTGGCAGTTCCACTTCCCTTCCCTGTCCAGCCATTCCCCTGGGCTCTCTTACCGGCCTCCACGTTCCCTCGTTCTCCAGGAACCTGGTTGGTGTCGGCCGTCTTCAGGCCCTCGGCGTCACCACTACGTTCCCTGGGCACGAGCAGTTCGCTGTCTGTACCGAGGCAGTCTCAAGTTCCCCCCGGACCCGGTGTCCGGTCTGTTTACCCTCAACACAGCTTCCCCCCCGGTTTTTGCATCCTCCCACGTCGCTGCGGCTTGCTCGTGTCGGTCCCTCACTCACCCGTCCCTTCTCTGGCACCACCGCTTGTTGTAACAGGATCGAAGGTCCCGAGGAAAGGTTTGCTCAATGTTGCCTTATCAATCAGTACAAGGTGCTTTTATATTTCCAGAATACATCAGGTAACCAGGCTTATCCTATCCATGTTGTGTGATGTCATCATATGCTATCACATTCTGTCTGCCTCCCATCCCATATTTTTTCAACTTGCATGTGTGGTTTGAACGTGTGCAAGAATTTGTGTGTGATGTGTTCTGGAGTTTGGGAATGTGTTTTGTGTTATTTTGTTTGAGCAGGTTTTTTGTGATGATAGATCTTGAGAAGATCTTTCCGACGCAACGAGAATCCCTTCAATCGGAGCAAGAACGCGAAAGCTATGAAGATTCAAAGTTCATGAGCTTGCGTTACAATTGCGGCGGTTACAAAGTGAAGTTGTGGGGTGACTCTATATGGAGTTGGGACCTTTGGGGGTTTGGGAAATTTGTCACTCACTGTAACAGCTGCAAATTGGTTGGGAACAACCAAGCTAGGTTGGCAAGGGTGGCCAACTTGGATGGATTGGTTGGGAAGGGACAAATGTCAAAGTTGGGGTTCCTATAGGGAGGGAATCTTTGTGCTTATGGGGTTTCCTTGGTTGGGGACTCTCTTGGGACCTTCCCTCTCATCCCTCTCTTCCTATCCCAACCTTTCTCTTGCTCCTTCAAATTCCTTGTGAGATTCTTGAACTGTGATTGAACTCTTGAGATTGAGTTAAGTTCTCCTCCTACAGCTTACCCCCTAGTGCGTCGAAAGCCATAGCGTCGCGAATACTGCATCAATCAACGTGATTCAAATTGTGGCAGATTTGCTTGATGAGGTAAAACCCCCTGGGAAGATTAAGTATGTGGCAGCAGCGTCAGGTGCTTTGCTCCCCGTGATTGGTGTTGGGAATGCCAAGGTTAAGGGAGCTAATGGGGAGCTTGTGGGGCTTGGGAATGTTCTGCTGGTTAAAGGCTTGTCTGCTAACCTTCTCTCTGTGCGGCGGCTGCAGAAGAGTAAGGCCGAAGTGACCTTTGGACCAACCAGCTGCCGTGCTAAGCTTGGGAAGAAGGTGCTGTGGAGTCTGGAAGAGGAGACCAGCTGCATCAAGGACCTGTGGCAGCTGCCCATCATCCCTTGGAATGGGAAGACTCCAACAGCAGCAACGGCAGCAGTGGCAAAGGCAACAGCAGGAGGAGATGCAACTGCACCAACTGATGGGGTGCTGGAAGCAGTCAAGAAAGTGCAGAAGCAGCAGACACATGGTGAGGTGCTTGCTGGTGTGGATGCGAGTGCGGCATGGGCTAAGGCTTCATCAAGGAGTGGAGAGGCCGATTGGGAGACATGGCATGAGAGGTTGTGTCATGTGAACTTCCCTATGCTGCAGAAGTTGGTGAAGAATGGGAGCCTGAAGGGCTTGGAGGTGAAAGGGGAAGTGAAGGAGATTGGGAGCTGCCCTACATGCTTGGAGACCAAGTTCTCCAAGTTCCCCTTCAACAGTGCAACTGGACCATCCAAGACCCCACTTGCACTTGTGCACATGGATGTGGTGGGGCCCACAAGAGCCCCTTCCCTCTCAGGCAGCCGCTATTTCTTGACAATTGTGGATGACCACACTTGGGCAGTGTGGGTTTACCCTTTGAAGAGCAAGGGGGAGGTGGCAGCGGCTGTCCTTAAGGAGTGGATGCCGAGAGCTCAGAGGGAATGCGGACACAAGGTGAAGGTGATCCGTAGTGACAATGGTGGGGAGTTCATTGGAGCTGATTTTGAGGGGGAGTTGAAGAGGAAGGGGATCCAGCATCAACTGACAGTGCCCTACAACCCACAGCAGAATGGCGTGGCTGAGAGGTTCAACAGGACCCTGCAGGAGGGGGCACGCACTCTCCTTGGGCGTGCAGGGCTGCCTGATCCGTTTTGGGTGTCTGCACTGAGGCAGGTCGCCCTTGTGAAGAACAGGGTGCTGGCTACAGTTGGAGATAAGGAGTGGATCCCATACGTCAAGTGGTATGGGAGTGCTCCAGCTGTGAACATGCTGAGGGCATTTGGGTGCATGGTGGTGTTTCATGTGCCTAAGGAGAAAAGGGGGAAGTTGGAGGCTTCTGGAAGATGGGGTGTGCACTTGGGGATTGCAAAGGATCACAAGGGGTGGCTGCTATGGGACTTGACCACCCAGAAGTTGACAGTGTCAAGGGATGTGAAGTTTCTTGAGTCCCTGTACTACAAGGAATGGAAGCAGCAGCAACAGAAGCTTCCATCTACACCGCTCATTGTGGAGGCAGATGAGGTGCAGCAGCCTTCAAGACAGGTGGAGGTTGCAGTGTCAGAGGAGGAGATGTCTGGGGTGACTGAGGAAGGGGGAGCAGCTGAAGTAGAGCAGCAGCAGCAGCAGCAGCATGAGTCTCCACCTCGAGTTCCACACCCGCCTGAGCGTCCTAGGAGGGATGTGCGCCCTCCAGTGAGGCTGACCTATGGGGGAAGAGGCAAGCCGAATGTGGTGCAGGCTGGGAGTGTGGTTGAGCAGATTGAGGAAGATGAGATCGCTCACTGCTACTGGGCACCAATCCCTGAGCCCAAGACTCGAGAAGAGGCCTTGAATGGACCAAATGGGGAGAAGTGGAAGGCGAGTGAGGATGAGGAGTTCGGGTCCCTAATTGAGAACGAGACATGGGACCTGTGTGACTTGCCTCCTGGAAAGAAGGCAATCACTTCCAAGATGATCTACAGGCACAAGTATGGACCTGAAGGGGAGCTGACCCGCTACAAGTCTAGGCTTGTGGCACGGGGGTTTCAGCAGACAAAGGGGAAGGACTATGATGAGGTGTTTGCTCCTGTGGGGAAAGGAACAACACTGAGGGTGCTGTTGGCGATAGCTGCACTCCTGGGATGGAAGATTCGGCAGATGGATATTGTGACTGCCTTTCTGAATGGGATCATTATGGAGGAGGTGTACATGAAGCAGCCAGAGGGGCTGGATGACGGGAGCGGCAGGGTCTGCAGGCTGAAGAAGGCCATCTATGGCCTTAAGCAGGCGCCTCGTGCATGGTATCACAAGTTGGAGGAGGCGCTGTTGGCTGGGGGTTTCAAGAAGAGTGAGTGTGACCCCAGCCTGTTCCTGCTGCAGGAGAAGGATGAAATCCTCATGCTCTTGGTGTATGTGGATGATATCCTTCTCTTTTCTGCATCCACTGCTTTGCTGGACAGCGCAGAGCAGATGCTGGAGATGCAGTTCAAGTGCTCCAAGATGGGTGAGGTGAAGTACTACTTGGGGATGCACGTGGAGAGAGATGTGGAAAAGGGTGTGCTGAGGTTGCACCAGAGGAAGTACTGTGAGGGGCTGGCTGAGAAGTATGGGCTGCAAGATGGGGGAAAGCCAGCAACACCACTACCTTCAGGGTTTACTGTGGAGCCATGTGCTGATGAGGAGGTAGTGGGTGATAGTGACAGGAAGCTGTTTCATTCGATGGTTGGGTCGCTGAATTATGCTGCAAATCATACACGGCCTGACATTGCATTTGCTACATCACGATTGGCTAGTGTGGTCTCACGCCCTAGTCATGAGCAGCTGGAAGCGGCCAAGAGGTTGGTCCGCTATGTGAGCGCTACGGCATCAGTGGGATTGGAGTACAGTGGAGTGAGGCAGCGGTTGCAGAGAGGTGCTGCAGATGTGAAGAGTGGAGAGATGCTCTTGAGTTGCTATACTGACGCTAGCTTCAACTCAGTGAAAGCGGATGGCACCAGCATTGGGGGTTATGTGTGCTTGCTAGGAGGTGGTGCTGTGAGCTGGCGCAGCAAGAAGCAGAATGAGGTGGGATTGTCCTCATGTGAGACTGAGTACATGGCCTTACACCATGGGGCCAAGGAAGTAGTGTGGCTAAGGCGTTTGTTGGAGGAGTTGGGAGTTGGTCAGGAGAAGCCGACAGTTGTGTTTTGTGACAATGAGTCCGCTGTGAAGCTCGCCAAGAATGCTTGTCTGCATGGGCTGACAAAACACATAAGGCCTAAGTGGCATTGGGTGAGGAGACTCCTTGATAAGGAGGTGCGGCTGGAGATAGTGAAGACCCATCAGCAGGCAGCAGATATTTTCACCAAGCGTCTGGCGGAGGCGGATCATTGGAAGGGCATGAAGCTTGCTGGGATGAGTGTGCATTGAGTATGCATGCTTGAGATGTTGGTATGGTGGATGATGGTTGGCAGCCAGAGGGGGAGATTGTTGTGTGATGTCATCATATGCTATCACATTCTGTCTGCCTCCCATCCCATATTTTTTCAACTTGCATGTGTGGTTTGAACGTGTGCAAGAATTTGTGTGTGATGTGTTCTGGAGTTTGGGAATGTGTTTTGTGTTATTTTGTTTGAGCAGGTTTTTTGTGATGATAGATCTTGAGAAGATCTTTCCGACGCAACGAGAATCCCTTCAATCGGAGCAAGAACGCGAAAGCTATGAAGATTCAAAGTTCATGAGCTTGCGTTACAATTGCGGCGGTTACAAAGTGAAGTTGTGGGGTGACTCTATATGGAGTTGGGACCTTTGGGGGTTTGGGAAATTTGTCACTCACTGTAACAGCTGCAAATTGGTTGGGAACAACCAAGCTAGGTTGGCAAGGGTGGCCAACTTGGATGGATTGGTTGGGAAGGGACAAATGTCAAAGTTGGGGTTCCTATAGGGAGGGAATCTTTGTGCTTATGGGGTTTCCTTGGTTGGGGACTCTCTTGGGACCTTCCCTCTCATCCCTCTCTTCCTATCCCAACCTTTCTCTTGCTCCTTCAAATTCCTTGTGAGATTCTTGAACTTTGATTGAACTCTTGAGATTGAGTTAAGTTCTCCTCCTACAGCTTACCCCCTAGTGCGTCGAAAGCCATAGCGTCGCGAATACTTCATCAATCAACGTGATTCAAATTGGGAACGGTAGCTGAGATCAAGAGCTACAACATATCCAAGTTTCGCGACATTCCAACGGCTAGTGTTTTGTCGACGTCGTTTCTTGTGAAGACGACTTTTCTGTCCAGAATTTCGGATTTATATTTTGAGTAATTCTAGCTCCTAAGTTCACCTAGACTCTGTCCTTAATCCTAACAATCCAAAGGGAATAGACCCTTCTAGAAATAGAATCACCATGCGTATAGCCATGCGAGGCTATTGGCTTTAAGGGATTACGGCAGGATTACGCTAGATATAGCGCGCCAGTACATCCCGAGCCTGGTCGGTGATATAATTATAATAACAGGATAAACCAAAGGATAATGGAAAATGAGGAATAGGAAACCAAATTAGATGAGATAAAGACCAAATGAATGAGGATAAAAAGAGGAATGAAATAGAAAGGAAATATGGAAAGGGGAAATTAGTGTAACGGGGTCGTACTCTCACAGGTTGGGTCACCCTGCTCTCCCGCGTCTGCGTCACATGTCTTAGCACGGTCTTGTCTTAGGCCTCCCTGCGTCGCTCCCTGTCCTTCCCCCCTCGACTGCGCCACCGTGCACGCCTTGCGTCGAGGGCCGGCTCTGCCGTGCTCCTCACTCCTCCTCGCTTCGCCCTGCTACTGCCCCCCTTCAGACCCTGCACCTGGACGTTTGGGGCCCGGCCCTTGTCCCCGGACCGCGCGGTGAGCGCTAATTTCTGGTGCTCGTCGACGACTACACTCGCTACACCACAGTGTTTCCCCTGGAGCGGAAGGCCGACGTGCCCGACGTTCTTCTACTGTGGGTTGTGGCTCCCCGTCTCCACCGCGGTCTCCCCGTGCTATGTCTCCACTCCGACCGTGGCGGCGAGTTCGCCTCTTGTCGGCTTGGACAGTTCTGTCGTGCGGAGGGCATCACCCAGTCGTACACCTTGCTGGACTCGCCACAGCAAAATGGGGTTGCTGAGCGCCGCATCGGCTTGGTCATGGAGGTGGCTCGTACCTCCATGCTCCATGCCGATGCCCCCCATTTTCTGTGGCCGTTCGCTGTTTGCTACGCTGCTCACCAACTTAACTTGTGGCCCCGCTCTTAGCGGCCGTAGGTTTCGCCGACCCTCCTTTGGACCGGGTCCCTCGGTGACGCGTCAGCCTTCCACGTCTGGGGTTGCCTTGCTCACGTTCGTGCCTCTGGCATGCACAAGCTCACTGCCCGCATTGTCCCTTGTGTCTTCCTTGGTTTCCCCCTAGACTCGTCTGACTGACTCTTCTACCACCCGCCGTCTCACCGCTTCCTCCACTCTCATGACGTCACCTTTGACGAGTCGGTCTCCTTCTACCGTCGCTTCCCTCACCGAGGTCTCCCGGTTTCCCCACCCCTGTTCCTTGCTCCCTCTCCCCTGGTAGCCCTTGCTCCCCTCCCGCCTCGTCCAGCCCCGTCTGGCGTCTCTCACATCACTCCCCTCCCGTCGGTTGTCCCCGTTGAGGAGTCTTCTGACTCTGGTTGTCCCCCCGGCCCGCCCATGTCGCGTCCCCCTTCCCCGGTGTCTCCATCTCCGCTGTCGCAGTCGCCGCCGCCGCTTTCGCAGTTGCCGCCGCCGCTTTTGCAGTCGCAGCCGTTGCCACCGCTGCCGCCGCTGCCACCGCCGCCGCCGCCGCCGTCGCAGCCGTCGCCGCCGCTGCCGCTCTTGGCCTCTGGGGGTGCTGGCAATGAGGAGGGTGCTCGTCCTGCGGCTCCTGGCGTCGTCTTTCCCGGTGAGCCTGGGGGTGCCGCTGGTGCTGGAGGGAGTTCTTGCTATAGGGGTGTTGGTTCTGGAGGTGCTGCCGTTGAGTGTTCTCCCGGCGGTCGTCGTGCCTCTGCCGGTCCGGGGGTCGGGCACCAGCCGTCATCGCAGCCGTCGCAGCCGGTCTCCGCTCTTTGCCTGCTCGACCTTCCCTCCCAGACCGCTCGCCGGTGTCTCCCCCGCCACCTCCTCACCTTCCTGTCTACGACCCTGTGTTCCTGCCGCCGGACTCGTCTCCGCCACGTCTTCCTCCTCGTTCCCCTCTTGTGTCCCCTCCGCTGTCTCCTGACAATACTCCTCCTTCCCACGTTTGGTCTCGCCGTCCCTCCCGTGCTCGCCCCGTCTCTCGTGTCCTGCGCTCTCACCCTATGTTGCTCCGTTCCCACTCGTCTCGTCCTCCCCTCCTCTTGTCGCCTCCTCCCTCGTCGCTTGTTGTTGCCCCTCCTCCGCTGTCTCACTTCTTCCGTGGTGCTCGTCCCCTTGTCCCTCGGGTTCTTGCTTCTCTTGTTACAGACCCGTCTGTCCCTTGACGCGCTTGTCACTGCTGTCGCTGACTTCGCCTCTACCCGACGCCTTGACTACGCTACCGCTCTGGTCTCTTACCCTGCCCATCCTCCGTCCGTCGGGGGTGCACCTGCCCTTGGCAGTGACGTTCTAGAGGACAGGCAGTACGAGCTTGCTTTCGTTTCAGAGGCCGCTCCCCAACTCTGCTCCATGCTCCTAGTCCCAGAGGGTGACCCAGACGCCTTCGACATCCCGACCCCCGCACTTACGCTGAGGCCACCTCGGGACCTTGGTCCTCTCAGTGGATAGCTGCCATGGAGCAAGAGATGGCATCTTGGAGGTCCACCGGCACTTACGTCGACGCAGTTCCCCCGCCTGGGGTGAACCTAGTCGATGGTCGGTGGCTCTTCAAGGTGAAGCGCCCCCCAGGAGAGCCGCATTTCTTCAAGGCGCGCTACGTGGCTAGAGGCTTCAGCCAGTGTGAGGGGGTGGACTTCTTCCAGACCTTCGCCCCGACCCCGAAGATGACTACTCTTCGGGCGCTGCTACACGTAGTAGCACAGTGTGCCTACGAGCTCCACTCCCTCGACTTCTCTACTGCTCTTCTTCAGGGCAGCCTATACAAGCAGGTCTACCTACGCCGTCCACAGAGCTTCATTGGTACCTTCCCTCCTGGGACCCAGTGGCTTCTCAAGCGCCTAGTTTACGGCCTGCGCCAGGCTCCCCGCGAGTGGCATGGCACGTTGCGTGCCACCCTAGCAGACTTGCAGTTCTTTCCGTCCTCTGCTGACCCTTCGCTTTTCGTTCGTTCCGGCCAGACTCCGTTCTACATCCTCGTTTACGTAGACGACCTGGTTAGTGCTTGGTGGACGCAGACCAGTGGTCCTTACTGGGCACATAGACGCTTCCTGCGCAGACGACGCTGAGACTCTCCGGTCATCTCAGACTGCTTTAGCGTTCGGTCCAGTGCTATCTCGTGGCGGTCTACTCGCTCGTCGTCTGTGGCTCAGCCCAGCTGTGAGGCTGAGATCTACGCTGGTGCCATGGCAGCACTGGAGCTCCGCTAGCTGACCTTCTTGCTCACTGACTTAGGTGAGCGGCCTAGCTCTGCCCCAGTTTTGTACGCTGACAACAGGGCCATGATCCTCCTGTGTCGGGAGCCTTGACTTGAGGGCAGAGCGAAGCATATCTAGCTGCGGTACTTCCTCCTACGCGAGCTACAACAGCGGTGCCAGGCCCGCGTAGTTCACTTGGCCTCCGGTGCCAACACACTTGATACTTTACTAAGGCGCTTGCGCCTAAAGATCATTAGCGGCACTGTGTTACAGCTTGGTCTTATTCCTGTAGCTACTCACCTGCTAGGACCTTGATTGTGTACTCCTTACTATATATATCTGTCAGACTGACCTTGTGGCCTTTTCTCCAGTGGCTGGACTAGTAGTGCCACCCTGGCGTGCTCTTGTCTTGTTTGTACTCCTGTTGACTGGTCTCTGGACCCCTCTCTCAATGGCTGGACTAGTAGTGCCGCCCTGAGCTGTGTGCTTGTTCCTTAGCACCACCCCTCCTCTAGCCTTGGGGGTGTGTCAACTCATACATGTTATGCATGTAGAAGTTATAGGCTAGTATCGGTGTGTGCTCCTAGTGAGTACAACCCAACTGCTATATGTGTCATGTTTTCCCTTCTAGTAATTATTCACGTATTCTAACACCACCAACTCTATATCCTGGCCAACCTAAACTCGTGGTTAATTTCTACATGGTATCAGAGCGTTGTCTAACCGAAAGACATCAAGACAGACAACGGGGGCGAGAATACTAGCGAGCAGTTCGATAAATTCATGGCGCGGAAAGGGATACTCATGCGCAAGTGTGTGCCTTACGCCCATCAGCAGAATGGATTAGCTTAGATAGCTACCTATTCCCCCGGATATACGCGCCTAGGTGCGTTTAGGGACTGTAGTCAAATTTTGGGGGGTGCGTTTATTCGAATTTCTGCGATATGGCCCAGTGCGTTTGAAGTGGTTTTTTTTTTAGAAAAAAAATGGCATCAAACTGTACTTCTAACCCAATTCAAAATTTTGCAGCAGCGAATACAACAGAGATTCGCATGAAACTAGTCCGGAAACATCGAACCAGCCAGGCGTGTGTGGATGCTGCCAAACGGACCAACCACGAGCACAGCGGCGCGGACGCTGTCACTGCTAAAATGTTGGTGATGCTGCGTTGGAGTTTTTGTGCGAATATGCTGCCTGGCGGTCCAATCGCAACTACATGCTCGGCGGGCAGCATCCAGCAAGGCTAGCTGGAAGCTCCAGAAGAATCTGCTGGCAGCTTCGTGCTGCCACGACGGTACCCTCTCAGCTCGGAAAGGAAGAGGAATCCTCTTTGTGCATTGTCATGGGCTGCACGAAGAGGAATTCCCCGCTGAGGAATTGGGGAACACCCTGGTTGAAGCTTCATTATTTCAGTAGCTTCTTGACCAGGCGTCTTCATGCTTCCTCTCTTGCCAGGCCGCCACCATGGCTGGCCTTCCATGCACAGTCATGTCTATATTGTTCGGCAGCCCTGATACACCAACACGCCTCTCTAGACAGGACATAGCTGCTGCCTGAGTTAGTAGATTTGGTGGTTTCCATGCT